GTAAGGCAAGGGGACAAGAGCTTTGCACCTGTACAGCCACTTGTCACTGCATACAGGCAAATCCCAGAGACAGGAAGAGCAACTGTGGTCAAGGCAGTCACCTTTAAATGGACGAATTTCCCTGAAGGGGACTCATCCACAGAGGGACCTGGGTGAGGTACGACCATTTACACTAAAATGTCCTGTCAGACTTTTTTGACAATTAATCCTCTGTGAATTTAATCTTTCAGTCTTATTAACAATACAGACTGAGGTGTATGTATGCACTCAACCAGCTGTGAAGAATGATGCAAGACAGCCCATTTTTCAGACAAACTTGAACATTTACCATACAGATTTCATTTTATGAAACTAAACATGCAATATCTGAAAGATTTTATCCAAGCAGTTTCCTCTGCTTGAAGCCTCACATGAATCTATGATAAAAAGCCAATTTAAAAATGCATTATCCAAAAACAAACAAACAAACAAACAAACATAAGTGGCTATAAAGGAAAAGGCAGTGCTTAAGACTATGGGGCAAAATTAAACCAAATTTATTTTTTCTTTTTTTTTTTTTAAGTTTATTTCTTCCATAAATGAGAGAGAAACAGGCACTCCCAACAGGGTCTACATGTCGCAATCAACCCCAGTCCCAGAAAGCCTTGGTCACAGTCACAAGTGTGCACACACACACACACACACACACACACACCCCCAAACATGCTCAGGGAAGTTCCAGAATGCAAACTTAGGAACTTTCCATGAGAGTCCAGGTGCATTAGCACTGAAGCACTGCCTGGCTACATAACCCAAATTTCTACCTAATCTTTTTCTGCCTCTAATACTTCTCATTCAATACTTGTTTCATTAGTTTATCCATTTAACAAACATTAACTAATGACCCACTATTTTCAGAAAACAAATCACAAATTAATATAAAACCTACCACCAAGGCCCATTGAGAGAAACAAGAAATGATCTCTAAATAAATCACATAGCATGAAAATAAAGTATCAAGTCTAGTTTATCTATGAATTTCTTAAGATGCTGACAAAGTGTCTAAAGTTCTCAATTCTAGCCCCAGATTCAAACTAGAAATGTCCAGTATTAGCCCAGCACGTGGAGTGGTGGTTAAGGCCCTGGACTTTCATATGGCTACCATGGTTTAAGTCCCAGACCTGGTGGCTCACTCTCTCTCTCTCTCTCTCTCGTGCTCTACAGTAAAATAAAAAGTAATAATGATAAATAAAATTAAATAATTCTTTTTAAAAATCCAGTATTCTTCAAGACTCCACTTACAACTGATATTTTAGGGAACCTCTCAACAGGAACTTACCCTCTTCTCCTATCTTTCTGATCCAAATCACATTTAAAAGTAGTAAATACCTTCCAAAGCAAATATAAATTGAATTCATTTTATATACCTCCTGTAAGGGTGAGTCTAAGCAAATAATGTTGAAATGGCAGTGGAGAAAGACTAAGGGCATATCAACTTCTTGAATTTAAGCAAATAATGTTGTAATGGCAATCGAGAAAGACTAAGGGCATATCAACTTCTTGAATTTTTCTCCATCAGCAGAGTGAAGCCAAAGTAGAAATGAGTGTAGCCAGTGACTAGGCCCTATTTTACATAAGATTCACTTAGCAAACACTTATTGATCCTAACTATGTGCGAGGCAGTTGTCTGAGAACTGAGGATATAACAATCAGTAAGGCTGGTTCTCTCAGGAACTTTATGTTCTACAGGCAAAAGCCAAAATGACAATCAAATAAAGAAACGTATACTATGTTATCAGCCACTGCTAAGTACTATCACAAAAATAAAGCAGAATAAGAGAAGAAAGGAGAAAAGGTACTTTTTAAGATGGCCTAGAGAGAGTGATAACTGAGTGAGTAGAGGAGAAAAGGGGAGAGAGCCACAGGGATGTCAGGAGAATGCTAAGGGTTGGAGACAAGAATGTGTTCCCAGATCTCCCAGAACCACTTCTCTGCCAGCTACTGTCATTGAGTTCTCGTCACACACCCAAAATTACTTGAAAAATAAAGTCTATTAAAAAAAGAGAATTCAAACAAGTATCATGTCCATATTACCTTTGCAATGGTTGAAACTCAATCAACAAAATATCTCCTTTGATATCAGCTGTAAATTTAAATTGTTTAGGCAGCATGCCACTATTGTTTTAGTATATGCACCTTTACCTTTGTTCCCGTTGGAGGACTGCAAGTGATAATGAACACAGAAGACAGAGTGTGTCCAGATGTTCATTTGAATTACACATCCAACAATTCACACACAACAACCATAGAGAAAAGGCACATGCTGTAAAACAGAGTGTTGACCTGGAGGATGTCCCATCCAAAAGAACCCAAAAACCTGATTTCAGAGGTGCTTTAAAAGTAAGCAGCTTTTTAAAGACAAGGTGGCATGCTGGTTGAGGCACTAGACTCCCACATGGCACACTGAGGTTCGAATCCAGGACCTAGCAGCTTGCTTTCTCATCTCTCTCTCTCTCTCTCTCTCTCTCTCTCTCTCTCTCTGCTGAACACTAAAGCAAATTAAATAATAATAATAATATATAAAATTAAATGGATAATTCTCTAAAAAGAAACACACAAGGCAGGAGAAGAATGACTTAGTCATTAACATCTCTGCAAATCCTCCAAGATATGTGAGGGAAAAAGGAGAAATATTTCAACTAAGGTAGTAGCCTTTGGTGTAATTTTGGTATTCCGAAGCCTGAGTTTTTTGCTAGGGTTCCATTTAGACCTACCTGATTATCTATCGGTCCACACCACAAAGTTATAAATATCTTTGTAAAAAATTGCCATGAAGACCCAAATGTCCAAGGAATATACTAGACATGCAAAAAGTGCTTTAAATGACTGAAGCAATCAATCCATCTAAGAGTATCTGTGATGTACCTACCACACATTTAACAGAGAAATAATTTTCACACTAAAAGGCATTTTAGAAGTATTACTACACTGATGTCACAGGTGTAGTTATAAATTAAACTGTGATATCTATTCTAGCAATGAAGGAAACCAAAAATTGAGGAAAGGATAAAAGAGAAAAACGTAAACTCAAAATATCCTTGACAAGAGTCTGAAATTTTGCTTCCTTCTATAATTATACAGTAGTCACTCTAACACTCCTACTTCTGAATATCAAAAGCCAGAATTAAACAGAAGTTTTAAGATGCTGCAGAACAAATAAAAATCAAAGCGCAAGTGATCACCACAGTTGTCCTGATTATCTGTCTCTCCTTTAGTTCACCGTTTTATTGTTTGACGGTTTCCTCCAGAGAGGTATGATCTTCATTTTAAAGTTTCATTAAACACTTTCATTCCATCTCTTTACTTACTTTCTTTGTATTCTCTTTGCAATCTCTGAATTAATTTCAATTCACTCAGACTCACTTTTTATTTTGCAAAGCTACTTTATTCCAAAACTGAATTGAACAAAAAAGCATTACCCTCAGAAAATTCCTTATGTTGAGAGGCATAAATTAAACTCCTTAAAAATGAACACTGAAGTGGTTCCCAGTGCTATTAAAACAGGTCCCTGTTACTCGGTTTGAACAACTATTCTCCAAGCACAGATCAGACCCTTGCTTGGGCTTTACCTAAAGTCTCCTAAAGTGTCAATAAGCAGGCCTGGAAAGGCTGACCTGTCATTGACAGACACCCAATATCCTTTTGGGTGGGTCCTTATGGTCTGATCAATTCAAGAACAGCATGAAAAAAATACATAAAGTAACAATTCGAAAAGCCAAATTTAAATTGTGAGGGAATCATATAAATAGAAATAAAGAAAAATTAGAAAAGTAAAACTCTTTTTCAGGATCTATCTGTAGCAGCTGTTCTCACACACTGTTATTTGTATCAAATCATCTGGATTTTTCTATTAAAACTTCACTAGCAAAAATTCTCAGACAATGGACCTGTTCCGGGCCTAGGAAACTGCAGTAGTATTTCATAAGGTCTGATCATGACCTCTGTCTCACCTCTATTTTGGCTTTGCTTTGTATCACCTGTATTACTACCTCTGGAGGCCAGCCCACTTCCCCATCATTACAAAAAAAAAAAAAAAGAAAAGAAATAAAATATCTTCACTGCTGCCGCTTGCTCCCTGCAGAAGAAACGTTTTCTCTT